CCTTGTATATGGACTGAGTTCAGACGAGTACAGTAGGATACAAAGTTGTACCACTGCTAAGGAAATATGAGACACTTTACAAGTGGCTCATGAATGAACTGATTGGAAACCTCACTGCTATTAGATGAACTGATTGGAAACCTCACTGCTATTAGATGAACTGATTGGAAACCTCACTGCCTATGAACTGAGAAGGCAAACCATGAAAAAGGATACACCCAAGAAGGAGAGGAGTCTAGCTCTAAGAATAGTTGAAGGTGCAAATCCGGAATATGATGAAATGGCCATGATTACAAGGGATTTCAAAAAGTACCTAATGAGAGGAAAGGGTTCTTCAAGAGGTATAACCTTCAACAAACCAAGGGCTCATGAGAAACAAACAAATGAGGGTTGTTACAAATATGGCAAGACTGATCACATGATCAAGAACTGTCCTCAGTGGGAAATTGAATGGAAGAAGGAAAGGGCCAAACAAAGGAAGTGGAAGAAGGAACAGGTTCAACCTAAAAGGAATAAAGGATCAACAAAGGCTATGGTTGCTGCTTGGGGGAGAAACATCAGATGAGGATTCAGAAGATGAAGCTGGAGATGAAAAAGCACTTATGGCCATCAGAGAATCATATGATGAACAAGAGGTAAGTGTCCTTCATCTCAATGACAAGATTAAATTTCTGTCTAAAGAAAGGTTATCTGAACTATTGTTGGACTTCATCGATGAGTCTGAAATAATTAACAATGAGAAGGAAGAGTTGTCTAGAGAGTGTGTGATCATAAAAGCCAAGTGCAAAATCTAGAATCTAGGGCTAATGAGAGTCACATTAAAAATGTTGAGTTGAAGAACCAGGTTCTTGAACTTGACACCAGTGTCCTATAACTTAGGTCTAAAAATTTAAAACTAAAATTAGGAATAGGAAAGAAGAAAGCTGATCATACACATCTCACCTTAGAAGAAAATCTAGGAAAAATGAAGGATGAGTTGTACAAGAAAGATGAGAAGATAAGAGTCTTAAAAGAAGTCCTAGAGAAGGTAAATCATGAACTAGATAGAACTTGCAAATGGAATAAGGCTTCTGATGCACTATTCTGGCTACAAGAACATCACAGTAGCCACAATAGTGGACTTGGATATAGGGGACAAGCACCTAAGTGGGACCCCAAAAGCAAGTATCTCACTCTTCCTGAAAATAAATTTGCACACACTGTGGCAAGACTGGTCACCACAAAAATGAATGTAATGCAAAAGAAAAGGACAATCAAAAGAACAAAGCTTTTGTTCTAGAGAAAAATAGGCTGCCTGGATGGGCTAAAAGGAATTTTATTTACCCATTTGCCTATAGAAAGGAACCCAAACTAGTTTGGGTTCCTAAGACTAACCCCTGATTTTTTTTTTGCAAGTCCAACTGAAGGGAAATAGCCAAATATGGTACATGGATAGTGGCTGATCAAAATATATGACTGGAAGCAAGAACCAGTTCCTTTCACTTGAGGACTTAAAAGGAGGTAATATATCCTTTGAAAATGGGAAAAATGTGAGATTATTGGGGTTGGAAAGGTAGGTAAGACAGAATCACACTCCATTGAAAATGTCTACTTGATAGATGTCATAATCAGTGTATCACAACTGTGAAAGAGGTAACCTTGTAGCATTTACCTCTACCAAATGCTTTGTGATTAACCTAACCACTAACAAGATTGTTTTGCAGGGAAAACAGTACTTTTCTGGCATACGTTAGCAAGGCGCTATTCTGCCGGAAAATGGCTCGCCGTCGTCGTCAACCACCAGCATCCGCCTCGCACAATGTCACCCCAGCTCCAGGGGAAACCAAAGAGCTCAAACCACTTACTTTTGGTAGTTTCCTTCCTCCTGCTTTGCAATCGACAGTTACAAAACCAGCAAAAGCTACTGAAATTGGAATGCAACATCTAGAAAATCAAAATGATGACCTTGTGAGGAAATTGCAGTTCTCGAACATTGTTGAATCTAAATCCCCATCCCCAACATTTGCTAAAGCTGTTCATGGGAATCGCCTTACTCAGATGGGTAATTCTCTTACATTTGTACCCCCAGTTAGTAGGGATGGGAAGAAGGTGGTTACTATTAGTGAGGAAGATCTAAAGCCACAAGTCGAGTACTGGAAGAACTCTCTGATTGGCTATATAGTTGGGGACAACCCTACTGAAAAGGCTATGGAGAGTTTTGTCCTGCATGTCTGGAATTTTGTCTCAAAACCACAAATCTTAGTTCATTCTGAAGGATATTGCATATTTCGGTTCATGAGCAAAATGGATATGGATCTGGTGCTGCAATCTGGGCCATATTCCTACAGGAACAAGCCCATGGTGTTGAGGCCATGGGAAATTGACTTCTCTTTTCAGAGTGACATTTTGAGCACCATACCTGTTTGGGTTAGGTTCCCTGGTTTGCCAGTAGGTTACTGGTCAGCAGAGGTGTTAAGCAAGCTTGCTAGTGTAGTTGGAAAACCACTGTACACTGATAAGATCACAGCCCATTATGAGAGAATATCCTTTGCTCGTGTACTAGTGGAGGTTGATGCATCTCAGCCACTGCCTGACCAGATTGACATTGATACCCCCTATGGTCCTAAAATCCAACTGATTGAGTATGATTGGAAGCCCACATTTTGTAATCACTGTCTAAAGTTTGGACATGACTCTATCGATTGTTGGTATAATGCAAAGGATGAGGGTGTCACAAACTTGGAACCACAGGAGACACCTAGGAGGCCTAGTAAACAAGCCAAGACTAGGCAGAGATGGACTATTAAAAAGGCCCCTACTGCAAATGCATCTCAGGATGCTGAGGAAATTCAGGAAACAGTTGGGATGAATGTGACTCAAATACCTGAGGCAATCCAGACAGTAGATGTGGGGATTGCATGTCAGTCTCCTCAGCCTAGACCTAGTGATCAACTAACTGTTGCATTGCCAGCCAGCATAGGTGCAGCATTGGTGGAAAATTACAATAAAGGAAAAGCTATTATTGAGGTTCTAGATGCTGGTAGGAAAGGCCAGCAGAGTGACCCTGGACCCTCTTACCTATGATCATTGTTACATGGAACATAAGAGGGCTGAACTTGGCCCACAAGCAGAAAGAGCTGAAAGCCTTTCTGAGTGTAAATAAAGTAGATGTATTGGGATGCCTTGAAACTAGAGTTAAGGAACATAAAGCTCAGAAGATCCAAGGGAAGATTGCCAAAGGCTGGAAGGTATTTTGCAATTATTCTGAGGCAGTGAATGGGAGGATTTGGTTGATCTGGAAACCACACATCCAGGTTACTATTTCCTGTGTTACTGATCAACTGGTACAATGCTATATAGTGGATTCCTATAGCCATGTCAATACTCATCTTAGTATAGTGTATGCTCAAAATACTGCTTGTCTTAGAGAAAGACTGTGGAGTGACCTTAAGGGTATCTCTATACCTAGCCAAGATACTTGGTTGCTTAGTGGTGATTTCAACACTGTTCTATCTTCTGAAGACAGGATTGGTTCCACAGTTACTGAGGCTGAAGTCAGAGGGTTTAAGCAACTCATTTATGATCTGCAACTTACCCCCCTCAAAAGAATAGGCTGGAACTACACTTGGACAAATAAGCAAAACTCTTCAACTAGAGTATATAGCAAAATAGATTGGGCCCTGGGAAATTTCCAGTGGGTGCAGCAATATGGATACATTGAAGCTGAGTTTTTAAATCCTTCTGTCTCTGATCATACACCAATCTGTATCAAGTTTGGCAGCCAGAAACTCTTGCATCCTAAGCCATTTAGGCTCTATATTGGGATCATGGATCTCCCACAATTCCAAGATATAGTTAAGGCTGTATGGCATCAGGATTGTCAGGCAGTGCTATGCAACAGGTTTGGTCTAAATTGAAATTGTTGAAGCAGCAGTTAAAGGAGGCAAATAGTTATATGGCCTCCTACAAACAGAAACTTATTCAGGCCAGAGAAAACCTTGATATTATTCAATCTCAAATGCAGATCATACCTCCCTCACAGGCTTTACTTATTGAGGAAAGGTCAGCCCTGGCAGAACTTGAAAAATGGAGTAGTATAGAGGAACAAGTCATGAGGCAGAAATCTAAGGCTACATGGATTGATTGTGGAGATGCTAATACTAGGTATTTTCATGCCCAATGGAAGATCAAAAATTGTCAAAATACCATTACCTCAGTCTATACTGATACTGGAATAAATCTCTCTGATCCTGCTGCTGTGGAACAGGAGTTTCTCACTGTATTCCAAGATTTGCTGGGAGGTTGTGCTGAGGAACTGACTTGTGTGGACATAGCTACTATTAAGGAAGGTAAATGCTTGTCTTTACCTCAACAGAGGATGTTAATCAGAGACATTACTATGGAGGAGATTATTGATGCTCTTCATGACATGCCAAAGGATAAAGCTCCTGGTGTAGATGGCTATCCTGTGGAATTCTTTACCAAAAACTGGGAGATTATCAAGCATGACATATTAGCTGCTACAAAGGACTTTTTCAGCTCCAGCACTATGCCACACATGATAAACACTACAGCTATTGCATCGGTTCCCAAAACCAGTTCCCCTACTACAGTCAAGGACTATAGGCCTATTGCATGCTGCACTACTTTATACAAACTTATATCCAAGATCATCACTAGAAGACTAAAATGTGTTATAATTGATATAGTTGGATTAGCCCAGTCTGCATTTATAGAGGGAAGGAGTATTGCTGATAATATTCTGCTCAGTCATGAGATTTTCAAAGGTTACTCCAGAAAGGGTGTGTCTCCAAGGTGTGTACTGAAAGTGGACTTGAGGAAAGCTTATGATACACTGGAATGGCCTTTCCTTCAGCAGATCCTAATAGCCTATGGGTTCCCAGCTAAGTTCATTAATTGGATTATGGCCTGTACCACCACTGTATCCTTCTCTTTAGTACTAAGCAAAGAGAGGAATAAGGTAGGGTGATCCAATGTCCCCCTACCTATTTGTGCTGGCTATGGAGTACTTGAACAGAATCTTGGGACAACTTCACAGGAATGGTGACTTTAATTTCCATCCTAAATGTAGAAAACTCAATTGCACACATGTTTGCTTTGCTGATGATTTACTTATGTTCTGTCGGGCTGATACCATCTCTATACAGATCCTTCACCAGGCATTTCTAAAGTTCTCTAAGGCCTCTGGTATGAAAGCAAATCCTAGCAAGAGTGCCATCTACCTAGCAGGAGTAAAACAAGAGTTCAGGACAGAAATGATTGGAAGACTGGGATTCAGTGAAGGCACACTTCCCTTTAGATACTTGGGTATCCCTCTGGACTCAAAGAAGATATCTATACACCAGTTTCTGCCTCTCATTGAGAGGATCACAGCGAGAATCACCTGTTGGTCTGCAAAGCTGCTGTCATATGCTGGGAGGTGCCAGCTTAAAAAATCTGTCTTTTTTGGTATACAATCTTATTGGTCGCAGGTATTCATATTACCAAAAAGAGTCCAAAAAGCTATTGATACAATCTGTCGAACTTTCCTTTGGACAGGATCTGCCAGTTCTTCCAGAAGGGCCTTAGTGGCTTGGGATAGAATATGTACACCTCTTAATGCTGGTGGCCTCAACATAATGAATCTGACAATTTGGAACAAAGCAGCAATAGCTAAACTCCTCTGGGATCTGGCTAGGAAAAAGGACTGTCTATGGGTCAGATGGGTACATTGCTACTATATAAAAAGAGCTGATATTGAAACAGTAAATGCACCCAAGCAAGCTGCCTGGGTTGTTAGGAAAATCATACAATGCAGAGATGTTATCATGGAAAACCAGCAGCTGATAGGCTCATTAAGTGACAGACTCAAGACAGTATGTTGTCTTGGCAAATTCCAAATTCATAAACTCTACATTGCCATGCTGCCTAGGTTTGATAGAGTAATCTGGAGGAATCTACTACTGGTTGCAAATGTAATCCCTCGTCACAAGTTTATTGTTTGGCTGGCTGCACAACATAGACTTCCTACTGTGGATAGGTTGGCTAAGTTTGGTATTCAAATACCCCCTATGTGTGTATTCTGCAATAAGCAGGAGGAGACCTTTCAGCACCTGTATTTTGATTGCTGTATTACGAAGAGTTTATGGTCTCGCATTTGCTGTTGGATGGGTAGCCCGAGACAGATTCTTGACTGGGAAAATGAGTTGAAATGGATATGCAGTAAGGCTCGTAGCCATGCCTGGAGGAATGCTATTACTGCTGCTGCCTTCATACATGTTATTGCTCTAGTATGGAAGGCGAGAAACAACATGAGGTTTCAGAATTTGGCATATGATGAGGATAAAACTGCCAGAGAAATTGCATTGCTTATCCATATTCGTGGAAGACACAGTAGAAGCTGGAAAATTGGTCTTCAACAACTAAACAGTTTCCCTTAACTAGTTTCTTAGTTGCCTGTTAATCACATACATATGATTTTGGTGTTTTTTTTGATTGATACACAGAAATGCTGATGTAATTAGAATCAATAGCTGGCTGTCCAACCAGCTATGAATAGGATCATTTGTACATTTTTTGCAGTATATGAATACAATGCCCAAATTAAAAAAAAGAGTTAATAATATTTACATTATAGATTTTGTCCACTCTTTCAAAAAATGAACTCACTTGCTTGAGTGTGTTGGACAATGATCCCCTCTTGTGGCACAAAAGACTTGTTTATGCAAGTCTAAATCAACTCAACAAATTAGTCTTCAAGGACTTGGTGATAAGGTTACCTAACATCAAGTTCAAGGAAGACAAATTTTGTGAGGCCTATGCAAGGGGGAAGCAAATAATATCATTCTTTAAAAGCAAGAAAATGGTAAGCATAACCAGGACGTTGGAACTGGTTCATATGGATCTTTGTGGTCCAATGAGAACATTGAGCAGAGGTGGTAAGAAATATATGATCGTACTTGTTGATGATTATTCTAGGTTTACCTGGGTACTATTCTTAATATCTAAGGATGAAGCATTTGACATATTTACTGCCTTTGTTAGAAAAACTCAGAAACAACTAGGTAATCAACTTGCATCCATCAGGTATGATCATGGAACTAAATTTGAAAATGCTAAGTTTGCTGAATTTTGTAATGAGCATAGTATAGATCATAACTTCTCTGCCCCTAGGACTCCTCAACAAAATGGAGTAGTTGAAAGAAATAACAAGACTCTTGAAGATATGGCTATGACTATGTTTCTTTCTAGTAAAGTACCCTATAGCTTCTGGGCAGAGGCTGTAAACACTAAATGTTATATCATAAATAGATACATGACTAGAAATCTTGTGGAGAAGGCTCCCTATGAGTTACTTAAAGGGAGAAAGCCAAGTATATCACATCTTAGGGCATTTGGATGCAAGTACTTTGTGCATAATAATAGAAAGGACTCCCTAGGTAAGTTTGATCCCAGAAGTGATGAGGGAGTATTGTTAGGATATTTTTCACACAACAAAGCATATAAAGTGTTCAATAAAAGAACTCTGTGTGTAGAAGAAAGTGTACATGTAGTGTTTGATGACACTAAAATTCTTTCTGAGAGACAGGAACACGAAGATGAAGCCATTGGGCTAGTAAAAGATTTGAGTGAAGTTTCAGCTCAATTCAAAGTGGCACCAAAAGAAGGAACATGTTCTTCCATCCAGGGCAACCTGACAGGGGGAACTGATCAAAGAGGAACTGAAACCAATCCCCTAAAGGAATTTGTTCATGATCCTATTCCACAACAACAGAAAATGGGAGAAACATCAAGTAGAAATCAGTTGGTTGTAAAACCTCACAAGTTTCAAAGTTCTCATCCCATTGAGAACATAATTAATTATCCAACCTCCAGAGTTAAAACTAGATCACAATTAAAGAATCAGTGTGCTTTTGATACTTTTCTATCTCTTATTAAACCTAAAAATATTATTGAGGCTTTGTAGGATGTAGATTGGGTAAATCAATGCAAGATAAACTCAATCAGTTTGAGAGAAGTCAAGTTTGGCATCCAGTTCCTAGACCCAGAGACAGATCAGTAATTAGCACAAAATGGGTCTTCAGAAACAAGCTTGATGAAGATGAAACAGTTACAAGAAATAAAGCAAGACTAGTGGTCCAAGGTTATAGACAAGAAAAGGGTATAGATTATGATGAGACCTTTTCTCCAGTGGCAAGACTGGAGGCAATAAGACTCCTCATAGCCTTTGCAACACACATGGAATTCACTCTTCATTAGATGGTCAAAAGTGCCTTCCTGAATGGCTACCTAAAGGAAGAAGTGTTTGTTAAACAACCTCCAATGTTTGAGAGCAGGGAATGTCCTGAACATGTGTACAAATTAGGCAAGGCTCTCTATGGACTCAAGCAGGCTCCTAAAGCATGGCATGAACGATTGTCCAAATTCCTACTTGAGCATGGCTACATATGATGTAAAATTGAAAGCACTCTATTCTTGAGGGAAAAATGTAAGGATCTTCTTCTGGTACAAATATGTGTTTATGCCATAATTTTTGGGGCAACCACTAACAAAACTAAGTAAGGACTTTGCCAAATTAATGGGGAGTGAGTTTGAAATGAGTATGATGGGTGAGCTTAACTTTTTCTTAGGCTTACAGATCAAACAAAACGCAAATGGAACCATGATCCATCAAAAAAAATATGCAAAATAGTTGATTAAAAAGTTTATAATAGATGAATCAAAGGAGATCGACATCCCCCATTGCAAGGACCACAAAATTAGACATAGATGAACCTGGTTCATCTGTTGATCAGAAGTTGTATTAGGGAATTATTGGTTCACTTTTGTATCTTACTACTAGGAGACTTGACATAGTTTTCAGTGTAGGGCTTTGTGCTTGTTTTCAGGGAAATCCAAAAGAATCTCACTTGACTGTTGACAAGAGGATACTGAGATATTTGAAAGGCACTACTGATCTATGTCTTTGGTAACCTAAAGGTAGCAATTTTAATCTAGTAGGGTATGCTGATGCTGATTATGCAAGTTGTTTTGTGGATAGGAAGAGCACGTCAGGTATGGCTCATTTTCTTGGTTCATTTCTTATATCATGGGCCACTAAAAAGTAGAATTCAGTGGCCTTATCCACTGCTGAGGCTGGATATATTGTTGTTGCCTCTTGTTGTGCTCAATTGTTGTGGATCAAACAGCAGCTGATATATTTTGGCATTGAAGTTGGTTGTATTCCTATCTTCTGTGATAACACTAGTGCTATAAGTATGACAAAGAACCATGTTCATCATAAAAAGACTAATCACATAGATGTTAGACACCGCTTCTTAAAAGATAACTATGAGAAAAGATTGATTTCCATAGAATTTTGTGCTACTGACAAACAAATTGCTGATATCTTCACTAAAGCACTGAGTAGGAAAAAATTTGAGAGGAACATATTGGAATTAGGGATGATTAAGATCATCTAATAGGACCATCTCACAATGCACAATGAAAAAAAACAAAAAAAATGAAAAAATAATTTTTTTTTGCTAGGAAATCTGAACTTGTGTAAATATATATA